AATTTTTTAGGGTCTAATTTGAAGTTTTTATATACTTGTAGATGTTCTAGATGCAATTTATGTATAAGGGGTATTTTAGGAATTTTGCTTATCTGTTTTTTCTCTGGATTTGAATTATTCTGGATGAGTAGACTTATTCTTAATTTGATATCAAATGTCAATGATTGGTGGGTGGATACATGAACCACTCGTCAAATTTATGTAGACAAGGGTTTATTTGTTGAGTACAAGAAGATGGATCATGATGAACTTCTCTATATGGGCAACTCAACTTCATCCAAGATATAAGGAATTGAAAAGTTCACTTTGAAATTCACTTCAGGAACATAATTGACGTTGAACAATGTAGTGGATGTCCTAGAAATTAGGAAGAAGGGATGCAAGACTAGTGTTCGAGTTTGACAAATTCGTACATACTAAAATGGGGCATGTGTGTTGGAAAAATGTATTTGCTTGATGGCCCGTTTAAGGCCAATGTTATTGTAGTAGACAATAAGTCCACATATTTGTATCCACAAGTTAACTTGCTTGATTCTTCCTTTTTATGGCATAGTGGATTATGACATGTTAATCGTTCTTCCTTAAGGAAATTAGTAGGTTTAGGACTTGTACCTAAACTTGAACTAAAAAATGAACTTAATATAAAATTTGTGTTGAAGCAAAATTTGCAAAAAGATCTTTCAATTTAATGAAAAGATGTAGTGAATCGTTAGGGTTNTTTAATGAAAAGATGTAGTGAATCGTTAGGGTTAATACATAACAACATATGTGATCTAAAATTTGTTCAAACTCGAGGTGGTAAAATCTTTTTTATCACATTTATAGATGATCATAATTGATATTACTAGACACTTTTTAAGTAGTAAAAACAAGGTATTAGATACATTTGTCACTTAAAAAAAGAAGATGAAAATCAATTTGGCAAGACGATCAAGATACTAAGATTCGATCGATATGATGAATATGACTCAATAGATTTTGATAAATTATGTATTAAATTTGGCATTATTCAGCAAACAGTTACTTATATACTCCTAGGCAAAATGAAATTGTCAAGAAGAAAAAGGAACTTTAAAAGATATGGTTAATGATATGCTTGTTAGTTCTGCTTACCACATAACTTGTGAGGGGAAGAAGTTTTAACTGCAAACTTTATTTTAAATAGAGTTCCTCATAAAAAGCTGGTTTAGTACCTTATAAACTGTGAAATAGTAGAATGCATTTCTACAAATACTTAAAAGTGTGGGGGTGCTTAGCAAAAGTGACTATTTCACCTTCTAAAATGATTAAGTTAGGTAGGTAGATGTGCAATAAATAGTAGTACATATAAATTTCTTGTGCATAAATTGAATATTAGTGACATTCATGCCAGCATAATTATTGAATTCATTGATACCGAATTATGTGAAAGTGTGTTTCCTAATAAAAGTAATACTTCCAAGAATATTGGAAAAAAGGAAAAGCATTGATACTTTTGAAAGTAACAAAGAATTTGAACCAAGGAGAAGAAGAAAAAAAGTTGCTATCTCCTTTGGTCTAGATTTTATATCATTTATTATTAAAAATGAGCTTTTATCATTTAAGGATTCTATTACTAGCTCAGAATCTTTATTGTAGAAGGAAGCTATAAATAATGAGATTAAATCCATTATGAGAATCGTACTTGGTAATCTATGAATATTCAATTATTCGAACATGGCTCTCAATTTCTTCCCTTGGGTTGTGTAATTTTGTGATATAATAGAATTTGACATTCCAAACAGATATATAATATTTTTCCATATGAACTTACAAGTATTGGCCTCGACAATGCTCGTGAGGGGTTTTACTTCTTCCCATTTGGTGAAGTAATCTATTGCTACAACCATGCATATCATATTACATCTTCCTCTAAGCAGTCATCCAATGAAATTGATACCCCATTTTGCAAAGAACCAAAAGCTAATGTTGGCAGTTAATTCGTGTCCGGGTTGTCGAGCTATTGTCGTGAAATTTTGACACCTTTCACATGTCATGACGAAATTTATGACATCTTTTCTCATAGTTGGCCAGTAATACCCTTGCTTCAAGCCTTTTTGTGCCAAGGAGTGTCCGCTGGCATGTTTTCCGCATATGACTTCACATATTTTCTCTCATTGCATATGTTGCTTGGTCGTCATTTGCACATTTAAGCAAATGAAGTGTATACGCTCGTCTTGCTCTTACTCGCAATTTTCTTACCTTTCTTTTTATTCTCAGATAGTATTCCATCCTTTAAGTAAGATATTATTTCTTGCATACATGAGGTTTTCCCAAATATCAATAGACTTTCCTCCATTTTCCAATTAACTGATAGGTTCGATAACAATTCTACCGGTACAATTTTAAATAGCTCTGCGTATTTTATGCATGCTAATTTTGATCATGCATCATTACATTGAAATTCTACCGGTACAATTTTAATTTCTTCTATAGGGATTTACTAGAGCTCAAATTTACTTAAAGTGGTGTAACAAGTTCATGACTTCGGTCAAAATATGCGACCATCATTTTGTCCTTGATAGCGAACATCCCATTGACCCAATTTACCACTAAGGGGGTGTTTGCCACCCATTTTTTGGAGAATAGAATTNTTTTTGGAGAAAAGAATTTTTGGAATGGTGATTGATGGGAGAATGTGTGGTGGAAAAGTTATGAAAAGTTTTAGATTTGTGTGTAATACTATTTTATTGGGAGAATGTGTGGTTGAAATGAAGAAAGAGAAAAAAATGAGAATGAGAATGAGATGAGAATGAGTGTCAAACATGGGCTAAATATGAATCACTATTTATTTCTATCTCTTGGGCATGCATTTCTTTTGTCAATCAAAAACCAGACAACATGACATTATATTCGGCCATAGTATTTGTCATTTTGAATTCAAATCTTAATGCACAATTCAGTTTGTCCTACTGTACTTGTCAGAATTATCTCCTCTCCAGCTCCATTTTCTCATGACGATCCATCCACAAACAGTTTCCAGGTTTCTTGTTCAAACTTAGCTTCGGGAATGGGGATGCCCAACAATTCGACAATGAAATCTACTAAAGCTTATGCTTAGATCGTAGATCGCCCTTTATAGATTTTTTCGAACTACCCTCTACTCTCATTTCATCAATCTTTCTGACACATTAGTCTTTTGTAATACTTACTTGAGTGGAACATTGGTCAGTACTTCGATACTTTGACTTTGGATATGAAGTAGTAGCATTTGATTACTAAAATATCTATATAATTAAGCAGACATTCCACCTTGACCAACATCCGATGTACTTTGATTGTATGAAGAGGCATATTAGAAGAAGCTATATTAAATGTTTCATCCCTCATATTTGCCCTCATATTTGTATATAAATTCAATAATTTTTGTTGTTTTGGTTGGTATAAGAGGGGGAGGGGGGGAGGGGTTGGCACAAGGTTCCCGTCTAATATCCACACCTAATCTTAGTGCATACAATTCATACAGTTCTACTAAAGTTTTCTCTAAATTACAGAATGGTGGAGGCTGTCCTGCCTATTGAACTCTTTCGAGCAGGCGTCAGGGCAACGACTTAATATGGAAAAGACATCCATTTATTTCAGCAGTAACACAAGGCAGGAAATTAAGTCAGCCGTACTACATGAAGCTAGAGTCAGAGAAGCGATATCTCTTGAGAAGTATCTGGGATTGCCGGCCTATGTTGGAAGGAATAAAATGACAGCGTTCAAGCCGGTACTTGACTCGATACGCAACAATAAATACTTGGACTGTGAGATTTATTTCACAAGTTGATAAAGAAGTCCTTCTCAAGGCTATTATCCAAGCTATTCCAACATATTATATGAGTATCTTCAAACTTCCCCGATCCTTCCTCCAAGCGATTAATCAGCAAGTTAAGAATTTTTGGTGGGGAAGTAGAGGAGATAAAACAAAGATGCAATGGCTCCCTTGGAACTTGTTAGGGACTTCCAAAATGGCTGGAGGGCTCGGCTTCAGAGACTTTGAACATTTTAATGCAGCATTATTGGCTAAGCAGGGCAGGAGGCTAATCCAAAATCCTGGTTCACTGGCTGCGAAGGTGCTCAAAGCGAAATACTTCAGTAGAACAGACTTTTTGAGCAGCAAGATTGGCAGCAATGCGTCCTACATTTGGAGGAGTTTCTCTAATATAAAAGACGTGTTATGAGGGAGATTATTTTGGCGAATAGGAAACGACGAATCAGTAGTTATCAGTAAGGACAAATGGATGCACCAGGATTCCAATTTTCAAATCCAAACTCCCCTACATGACAGGCTACTAAATAGCAGAGTGAGCGATCTCGTACGTGCAGAATCAAAATCATGGAACGTGCACTTAATTTCTCAAATCTTCAATGAATTATAAGCTAATATCATCAGCAAGATCCATTGAGCAGAATGTTCTTCGAAATCTTGTATTCTACTAGATGATATTATAATATATACTAGAGTATGTTTCATTCCATGTTTCATAATTAAATTAAATGTATGACATACCAGTGAACATAAAATAGAAAACCACTAAAATCTGATTAAGAGCAGAGCCCTTATCCCTACATAGTTTATCGATTACACGTTTATTAACAGTTACATTATCAAATGTAAAATATGAATTTTAGTTTCTCAATGATATTATTTTATAATTGTTGTAATAGCATTAAATATATTCTTAGCATTATGACGAAGCTTAATTATTTTAAAGCAAACTTTTTTAATGCATTACCCATAGTGGGTCTATGTAGTGAGAAGTTGGAGCTACGTAACCTTTTTTATTAATTTCTTCCCATTAGTCAATATAAAAGATCTAACACCACCATATTTTTGTAAATCATGTATTAACATATTTTACGCTCCCTTGCGACATTTTTCTCCAAAATATACCCATATTTTGAGTGCACTAAAATTAGTATCGAGAAAAGGAGTTCCAAAATGAAGTTGTGATTGTGTTTGACTTATAACACCATATTTAGTCGAACATTTCTTGTAATGCTGGTTGAGGTGGGTAGTTCCAATTCCTTTTTGTTATGCCAGTTTTTGGCAATATTTTCATACTGTTGAAGATTCTTGCACTTCGTCTACAGTACATACTACCATCTGAAACCAATTTGAAATGTTTTTAACATTTAACAGCTTGTTTGGATCTTCCCTTTTCTCTTATATCAACTACTTCGAGTTCCGTTTCTTCGTCAACGTCATCTAAATCAATCGGATGACTCTCCTGAGCATGTCTTCAATGCCCAAATCGTCGAGAATTGGGATGTTATTGAGAATGAAAAAATTGTGGTGTCAATGCTGAGTTACCACTACCAAACATAGCTTCATCGTACCTATTGTAATTAATTCTTTTGTTTCTTTCAATTGTATTTGGTTGATGCCCAAATTTCGAATAGTCATGTGTGAAAATGTAGATACGGGAAATGTTGGTCATGGACCGACCAAAAAATTTCCTAGTAAATTCAGAGATGAGGCAATAGATTTTGAAAGCATACATTGGTTTGATCATTCTTGTATATGGCACGTAAGTAAGCATAGCTTGGCACACGTAAAGGACACAACAATGGTGCAGTAGAACCGGTGCATTTTGGCTGCTTTTACATGCAAGACACATAGGGGCAATGCATCGATTCCTCAGAAGTTTCATCACCAATGCAGAACTCAAAAATGATCTCAATATAAGTAAAAACTCAAGCTGAAGCTTCTGGTATATTTACCCAGAGGCTAGCATTACTTTTGTGAGAATGAGGAATGTATATTAATTGTATGCTTGGCATGTATTATTGTGAAATATCTGTCAATATTATAACTAAATGTTATACGATAGCTCTAGAGCTGTGACAAAATATACTTATTTTAATCACTTGTTTTGTCAAAGGGACAGTTGCGAACAATTTTTCCATTCACTATCAGAATGCAACTGCAGGTGTGCACAAGCAAACACTTGAAAAACTTACTAAAGAGCTATTCCTCCCCTTCCATTGCTTTTGTACACGCAAAGATCTTCGCTTCTTTGCATGCTCCAGTTCCTTAAAAGATTAAAATAATAATGCATGCGATAAAAGGTTACACAGATAGAAGCAGTGTTCTAAAAGGCGTAATACGTGGCGATTCGTGGAGGCCAAGCAATGGGCTAGACGAGCAACTGCGAGGCTTAGGCATAAAAAAACGTAAAAATGCGTTTTCTTATTTTTTTAATTTTAAATCAATCAAAAAAATTTTTATAATTAAAAATAATACTTACTAAACATTTAAAACAGATTTATAGGAAATTTTTACATTTTTTCAAAATTTCCAACAAAAAGATAAGTTTTAAATTTAAATACAAAATAGTAAATAAATAGCATAAGAACTTAAATATTATCTAACTCTTTATTGGAGGAGAGAGATTTTTGGATTTCAGTGGTTGTTTTAAATTAGGGCAAACTAAAGAAATTAGGCTTTAATAATTTTTAACTTCAAAAATTGTAAAAAAAGAATTTTTTTTTTAAATTAAAAATTTTTTTTTTAAAAAAAGAAAGAAAGCGCACCTAGGTGCGCATTAGCTGGCGGTCAACGCTGAATGAGGCGCTTTAACCACCAAATGACTTGGCACCAAGGCCACGCATCGCGCCAAGCCTTGGAGTGCTATTTAGAACACTGGATAGAACTTAACAAAACATAGCACATTATCAAGGCTTGTAATAATCCAACAATTCATTGCACCATTCCATGAAATACTTTTGTGTTCATAATTATATACAACTAAGTTATACCTCAATAATTTCAATATAAATATCCTCCACTTTTATTTTTGGAAAAATGATGACGTCCTCAACACTCCAACTATTGATAAGTTTTACTTTCTCCGATTGGCAAAGTTGGCTTTGTTTTTCTTGGATATGTTTTTAAGTAGAAGATCAGGTGAAGATTGCTAAGAATAGACACAGACAAGCAACGTAGAAGATTCAAGTTAGTTTTCCCTCATTCCACTATGATCTTTTCCATTTTTCCAAGAAACGGTGCATTCTGAAAAGTTTGTCTTATTTTATTTCCAATCCAGCATTGGCTATGAGTTCCAAGGATGCATAAATCCAAATTTCAAAGGTTCAACACATATATTATATGGAAACGTGATTAAATGTCAAACTTAAAGTCCATTAGCATACAGTCTTTCAAATTTCCATGATGTGAAAAAATTAAAAACATCTAGACCATTTTGAATTCTTCGGATATTCCTTTTTAAAACATTCTAAGAAATCGACCTATCAACCATCTACTTTGTAAGTGTTGGCAAAGAGGTGTTGGCAAAGAGCACACTTTGACTCAGTTGAGTATGCTGTAGCAACTGCTTCAATATCTTTTCCCTTCTAATAGATGCTTCTAAGTAATTTCTACACCACAACCTAATGGTGTAACCATCCCTAACCCTGAGGTAACATCACAACCAACACAAAATATTATTTGATCTTATTTTACAAAGCAAAAGTAATTACGACAAGAAATATGTGAACTATTGATTGATAATACAACTATATACAAACATGTAGATACATTTGTGTGTGCATGTAGTATGATTTTACAAATGTATTTCTGTATAAAACAGGGCGATACCAATTTGCTTTGATACCGCTTGTTGGATTCAATAAACGAGTAAATATTGCAAGATGAAAATAACAATCAAGAACACCAAGATTTAAGTGGAAAAATACCACGAACAGATGAGGAAAATTCAATATAAGATGAAAGAATACAAAGTTTCTAACTTCTATATTATTACAATGAAAATCCAAAAATATATAGAGTACATGTCAAATCTTGAAAATAGTATTTTAAATGAAAATATCATACAATTTATCAAATTGCGAAACAAGCCATGGCCCGAATAACACTAATGCTCGAGCGCCAAGCTAGCGGTAGGCAAGCAACGGGCTCCCTATTCTGAGCGCTCGAGTGGGAGACATGCGCTCAAGGAACCAAAATGCAACAACTTCTTCTTCTTGGTCCATTTTTAGACTTTTTCAAAGTTTCTTATCAAAAACATCAATTCCCAGCGGAATTTGGGTTAGTTGCAGGTAAACTCTACAAAGCCTAGGTAAAGATTATCTCAAAGAATTTCATTTGCAGCCAAAAATTTGTTATGAGTCAAACTATTATCATTAGATTAAGACTTACCATTGTAGCCAATAGATTGGAATTCATCACTTTGTATCTTATCAGCAACAGATTAGGGTTTATCATTTTGTAACAATTCAACATATCTCCACCTCGACACAATTTTTTCTGCAATGAACGAAGCTTCTAAAATTCTCCACCAACACACAAATTTCACTGCAATAAATAGAACTTAATTCTTGAACAAAAAATTCTTCACCTCTTCCAAAAAGCCCAACTAGGATAAACTTAATAACTGAATCCAAGCATTTCACAGCAAGATTACCTACTAAAGTTGCTCGAATTATAACCACGAGCAACAAAATCACATATAACTCAACAATAATTACCAAATAGGGCAGAAACATATCATGTAATAGAATCGACACAACTAACTGTTTCAGTAGAAGCTCTTCTCTATACTCGATACATTCACCTTATTTAAAGCATAAGTAACTAAAATCTACTTTTCCGTACCTTTGTGGGGTATAATCTCTCTCTTAGGTAGCAATTGAATACTGTAGCACAACTGATGATGGTAGCAAAGCAACATTACCCATTACTTCTGAACTCGACATATGTATTCTTTAATGTAGACCCTAAAACTCAAACTCCACCAGAGTGCCTAACTTCTACTGACAAGACATATAATTGAGACATTCTCTATCCTTTTAGGTCATGAACTCTCACACAAAATACATCAAATAAGATCTATGCTTCAACTTTACATGATTCTTTAATATGCATTAATATGAATCTGCGCAAATGTGCATATGAGTACTATAGATAGATTGAAAATGAAAGAATTGTTGTACTATTTACTAACTACATTGTATTCTCCAAATTTCTTAGTAGGTGATTAATTGAATTTTTTAATCTCTTTAGCTAACTAAGGAAAAAAATGAATAGAAATAGGTTTGTCAGTTCCATCAAACAAATCTAAAGGCAACATTGTTATCAAACTTTTTTTTTTTTTTTTCGAAAAGCAATTCATTTAGCACCATAGTAGCAAACAGATACAAAGAGGATTTTCCTCCAACACAATTCTCTCCTAAGAGAGTTTTAAGTGCCCCCTATACTAAAGCATAAACTACAACAAAGCCAAACATGACCTAACAACAGACAAAAATTAAAAAACCAAAAAAGCCCAACACCACCACCAACCAATAAGCACTAACTCAATCCTACAGAGGGCTAGAAAAAATTAGCAGTGACCGAATCAAGGCAGGAATGGAGACGGAAGCAGGGGAATTAGAACATGACATCCCGGATTTAGAGCATAAAACCATTGAGCACAGACTGGGCAGTGGCCGGAAGATCCCCGGCGACAAACACCCGCACAGACTTCCTGGGCCAAAGCCACCCACCTTCAAGTAGCTCCAAACCAACCCCTCCGACCGAAGCACACCCTATCCTGAACAGATGCCACTACTAACTGCACCAACAATAAGCACCGAACCCAGAGCTCGAACTAAAGTCATGGCCAGTCAACTGAAACAGATGCAAACCGGCAACAAAGAGGCGGTAGGAACGGGCAAGACCTCCACCAAAACAAAACCTCTACAGACTTGGGGTCGAGAGGAACAACTAGGTCCACAAGAACCTAGAGAAGAAACCTTACCTTTGCTAACAAAGGAAGGACAGGGAACAAAGATAAAGAAAAAACGAGCAACAAAGATAAAGAAGACAAGAAGCAAAAGAAAAATGAAAAGGGGCCGAACGAGCGGCACTAGGCCGCTCGCCGAAGGTGGAACTAATCTTGCTGAACGGCTAGGGTTTGGGAGGTTTTTGGGAGGGGAGAGAGAAAAAAGGGGAAAGCTTTATGACATTGTTATCAAACTCAAAAGAAGATACAATGTGCATTTGTTTATATAATAAGAGTTATGCAAGAAAGTTCTTCTTTTTAACTACATTTGGTTGCATCTTGAATCATTGTTTTAAAATTTTGTGCACCAAGTTTTAAAAAAAAGTCTCTCCCCATCATATCAAATGGGTAAGAGGTTTATGCAAGAGTTTTTTTTTTTTTGTTAAGATAGACATTTTCAAAACAATATTAAGAACAAAAATAAAAGGAATGAACTTTGATATCCCAGTAGGCGCAAGCATGTCGTATCTTCCATTTTGCTCTCCTAGAACTTCGATGCATTATCACTCATAAGATCACATGTGATGAAGAATACAAAGGTTACTTGTGACCAACCACCCTGTGAAAAGGTGTGAGGGGAGGGGGGTCGAATGGACCATAAGAGAATAAGCAACTCAATTGGATGTTAGAGCTCACAAGTCTAAAACAATTGCGTTTTGCCACTTCCATTTACCACAAAACTTAGAAATCACAATAATTAATGCATTTTTTATTTAAAAAAAAACAATAAGCAAGGAAAATAAGAGGAAAATAAGGGGAAAAAATCCTGCTTGCTAATCATAATTGATTGACGGGAAAGAAGACAAATCACAATAGCAATTGATCTACTGCTTCCGCAAGCACCACGTTGCATTGCGTGATCAAATAGCTTTCCTAACAAGTAGTTAATGAGTATTGTCCCTCATATGGGTCATATATCTAATAAATCTAACTCAATGACGTAGTTTAAATACATTTTCACTGACTTTGTGTAACCTGAAAATATTCTGCATCGTTAATGCAACCTTTGGATCCAAATTTGATGATGGTTTTAAAAAATCAGCATCATGGATTCTATCTTAATTTAGAGCAATTGATATGCTGATTCCGCAAGCACCACGTTGCATATGATCAAATAACTTTCCCAACAGGTAATTAATGTCCCTCATAAGGGTCATATACCTAGTAAATCTAACTCTGACGTAGTTAAACTATATTTTCACTGACTGTGTAACCTAAAAATATTTTGCATCGATGATGCAACCATTGGAATCAAATTTGATGCTGGTTTCAAAAAACCAGCATCATTGATTCTATCTTAATTCAGAAATGACAACATTAACAATGCAGACTAGATTATTCTATCTCTAAAACTAAAATAACTTATCAATTATATAGTTTACTATTTTTCATAGTCGTTCACATAACACCCCGTGGCCATACTAAAATTTCCAAATATCCACCAGTATATTAATCTCAGCAACTTCTTAATTTATTACTTTTCGTAATAGAATTTCTCATAACTTCATTTATAAAAAGGAATAGAGAAATATACTAGGTATTTCTCTCTGAGACATATCTTCGAACATATGGCATGGAAATTCGATTGTACTGCATTTCACAACGTCAAAATTATTGTGATTGAAAGTAGTAAAGATTAATTTAAACAAGTAGAAGATTACTTTTCCCTAAATGCAAATGGAGAAAAATAATAAATTATCTTCTCTGGGGAATATTGTTCAATCCTTGAAACTGTAATTCCAAATTTCTACAAAGTAGCATTTTACACGTCACTAAAAATAATATTGGTCACAATACAGAACACAACCACCTTAAATTCACACTCTATATGTACAGTAACTTGCAAATATAAACTAGAGTCTAGTGAAGGATGTACCTATAGGATATCAGTTTGCGAAATTTGTTCTTATTCAGCAGTGTTCCTACACAACAATTGTATGATTTTGGTTATTCCATAAACAAATCTGATTTGATGATTATTATAAATCAATTCACTATCAAGAGGCGGAGACGAATCTAATAGGTATTAAATCCCGGGTTCCGTTCTAGGGGGGCACTTGGCCCCCCAATTGGAACGGAACCCGGGATTTGATCCCCAATAAATAATAGCAAAAGGGGGCCAAGAAAGTATTTAATAAGAAGAGAGACCACTCATCGGTTGCAAAGATTTACGAAATCCATTCCAGCTATCGCCAATTCCTAGAAGTCAATAAGTTTTGGATATTCAATTTTTTATGACTTTTATAGAAGTCTCCATGGTACTAACTTTTAAGCAGAAAGTACTCAAATAAAATCTCAAAATTTGTCTCATTAATCACAAGATTTTGAGAGACTTTCAGAGTTAATTATCCCAATAGTCACTGAATTTTACCGAAAGTTTCCACAAGGTCACTGAACTTTAAAAACTACGTAATTAATCACTGAACTTTTGAAACTGCAACCCCACTAGTCTCTAAACTTTGCAAAAAGTTTTCCAAGTGGTCACTAAATCAGTGACCGCTTTAGAAACTTTTTGCAAATTGCAGTGACCCCGTATAAATCTTTTGCAAAGTTTAGTGACTAATTGGGTGATTTTTAAAGTTCAGTGACTAACCATGTAGTTTTTAAAGTTTAGTGACCTGATGGAAACTTTCGGTAAAATTCAGTGACTATGGGGTAATTAACCTCGACTTTCAAAAAAAAACTAATATACATTTTTTTTCAATATCTCTCTTTCATTTTCCCTTCTAAAATATTAGAGTTGTATTAATTTTTTTTTCTATTGATCGAAAATGTAAAATATGACATTTTAATTTACAAATTATACTTTTGCTTTCTGCTAAAGCTTTTTCAGAAAATCTTCACTCCAATTGCGCGCGTATACTGTTCATGCGCATACATATATCTATCATCTGAATATAGGTAAAATTTGCATATTTAACTATTAAAGTTTCAGAAGTGGCATCGCTGCCTACGTGTAATTTGACAGTTCTGAACTCTCCGAATAAAGATTTAATTGGAGGAATTGGAGATAGCTGAAATGGATTCCGTGAATATTTGCAATCGAAGAGTGGTGTCTCTCGTCATTAAACACTTTCTTGGCCATCTTTTGCTATTATTTATTGGGGTGAAAAAAGAAGTAAATTTAACCCCACTAGATAGGATTTTACTCCGCCCCCCTGATAGCGACCATTGATTTATCATAATCAACAAATCGGGCTTATTTATGGAATAACCATAATCATTCAATTGTTGCGTAGGAACACTGCTGAATATGAACAAATTTCGCAAACTGATATCCTACAGGTACATCCTTCACTTGAATCACTAGACTGTAGTTTATATTTGCAAGTTACTGTATATATAGAATGTGAATTTAAGGTGGTTGTGTTCTGTGTTGTGACCAGTACTATTTTTAGTGACGTGTAAAATACTACTTGGTAGAAATTTGAAATTACAGTTTCAAACACTGAACAATATTCCCCAGAGAAGATAATTCACTATTTTCCTCCATTTGCATTTAGGAAAAGAGGGAATCTTCTACTTGTTCAAATTATTAATTAATATTTACCACTTTCAATCACAATAAATTTGACGTTGTAAAATGCTGTAAATAAGGCTGTGCAAAATGTCTGAATCGAACCGAACGGGCCGATTTTTCTTAAATTAAATACCCAAACGAGTATCTAAATCGAGAACCGACGGGTTTGATTCGATTCTCGATTCTAGAACAACAACCGAAAAACCGAATTTTTTTTTATATTAGATAAATCACTTTATTTTATTTTTTCTAAACAAATTAACATTTTTTTGTTTTAACAATTTTTTGTTTTAACAGTTGAGGCATTGATTTGTACATAAAACTGGTTAAGGGAAGAATCTAGACTTTTGAGAGTTTCCCAAAATAGAATTTGCATTGAAAAGACAGAATTCTATGAGGCTATTGAGACATGTAATAAAATATATATTATATTTTTTTCTTATTAAATTTTATTAGAACAATTTATAGTTTATTTATGTTTGTTAATTGTGTTTTTTTTTCTTTTTTTTCTTGTAGAGTTTCTTAGNTAAAATATTATGTTAATTTGTAAAATCTAAGATAGAACTTGGTATTTGTGTCTTCTTTTTGTTATTAGTAATAGTATCTACTTTCAGGTGTATTTATGTAGTATTATTCTAAATATTAAAAAAAATTAATTATAGTATGGAATCAAACAGAACCGAATCCGAACGGTTCTAGAATTAAATTTGGAACCAACGGTTCCATTTACTAAAGGATTTTGCTATTGGTACTGTGGGCCAGGCGCATCCCCCAATGAAAAGCTGCCATTTGTCCATTATGTTAACCTTTATGTAGTTTGTTATGTACCCATAGCAAGACTATTTACTAAATACCCGAAAATTTCTTGACCGGATTGAACCAACCCGCGCCCAGCCCTAGCTATAAAATCGAATTTTCATGCACATATTCGACGATATGCACCAAAGAGAAATACTCAGTATACTTCTCCATTCCTTTCTATATAAATGAAGCTGTGAGAAATTTTATTACAAAAACTAATAAATTAAGAAGCTGAAATTAACATACTAGTGGATATTGAAAATATTAGATATATGAAAAATTTAGTCTGGCATTGGGTGTTGTGTAAAGGACAATGAAATTTGTGTTCTGTATTATGACCAATACTATATAATGGATAAATTGTTTTAGTTTTAGAGATAGAATAATCTAGTCTACATTTGGTTAATATTGTCATTTCTGAATTAAGATAGAATCCATGATGCTAATTTTTTGAAATCATCATCAAATTTGGTTCCAAAGATTGCATCATCAATGTAGAATATTTTCAGGTTACACAAAGTCAGTGAAAATGTAATTAAACTTATGATGCTGACTTGAAACTACGTCATAGGGTTAGATTTATTAAATATACGACCCTTATGAGGAACAATACTCATTAGCTACATGTTAGGAAAGCTATTTGATCACATGCAATGTAATGTGGTGCTTGCGGAAGCAGCGAATCAATTGCTATTGGGATTTGTCTTTTTTTTTTCCCGTCAAGCAAATATCATTAGCAAGCAGGGTTTTTTTTTCCTTGTTTTCATCTTATTTTCCTTGCTTATTTTTTTTATATAAAAAATGCATTAATTATTGTGATCTCTAAGTTTTGTAGCAAATGGAAGTGGCAAGATGCAACTTCTTGTAGATTTGTTTGATGGAACTGACAAACCTGTTTCCATTCATTTTTTTCCTTAGTTAGCCAAAGAGATTAAAAAGTTCAATTCATCACCTACTAAGAAATTTGGAGGATGCAATTTAGTTAGTAAATAAAACAACAAATCTTTCATTTTCAATCTCTATAACACTCGTACGCATATTTGCGCATATTCTTATTGATGCTCATTAAAGAATCATCATGTAAAATTGAAGTATAGACCTTATTTGATGTATTTTGTGAGAGAGTTCATGACCCAAAAGGATAGAGAATGTTTCAATTATATTCTTGCCAGTAGATGTTAGGCACTTTGATTGAGTTTGAGTTAGGTACAGTATCGTTGGAGTTTTATGGTCTACATTAAAGAATACATCTCAATCGAGTTCAGAAGTCATGGGTAATGTCGCTGTGCTACCATCATCAATGGTGCTACAGTATTCAATTGCTAGAAACAGACCAAAAAGAGATATTATGCCCCCACAAAGGTACGGAAAAGTAGATTTAGTTATGCTTTAAATAAGGTGAATGTATCGAGTATAGGGAAGAGCTTTCTACTGAAGCAGTTAGTTGTGTCGATTCTGTTACATTATATGTTTCTGCCCTATTTGGTAATTATTGTTGAGTTATATGTGATTTTGTTGCTCGTGGTGATAATTCGAGCAACTTTAGTAGGTAATCTTGATGTGAAGTGCTTGGATTCGGTTATTAAGTTTATCTTAGTTGGACTTTTTGGATGATGTGAAGAATTTTTTGTTGAAGAATTAAGTTCTATTCATTGCAGTGAAATTTGTCTGTTGGTGGAGAATTTTTGAAATTTCGTTCATTACAGAAGAATTTGTGTCAAGGTGGAGATTTGTTGAATTGTAACCCAAATTCCGTTGGGAATTGATCTTTCGGATACAGACCTTGAAAAAGTCTAAAAATGGACCAAGAAGAAGAAGTTGCCGCATTTTGGTTCCTTGAGTAATTATCTCCTGCTCGAGCGCTCAAAATAGGTAGCCCGCTACTCGCCTACCACTAGTTGGCGCTCAGCATTAGTGTTATCCGAGCCATGACCTGTTTCACAATTTGATAAATTTTATGATATTCTTTCCATCTAAAACACTATTTTTAGGATTTGATATGTACTCTATATATTTTTGGCTCTTCATTGTAATAATATAGAAGTTAGAAACACAACATTTGTATTCTTTCATCATTTATTGAATTCCCCTCCTCTGTCCGTGGTATCTTTCCACTTAAATCTTGATGTTCTTGATTGTTATTTTCATCTTGCAATATTACTCTCATTTATAGAATCCAACAAGCGATATCAAAGCAAATTGGTATCGCCTTGTTTTATAACTGAAATACATTTGTAAAATTATACTACATGCACACACAAATGTATCTACATGTGTGTGTGTATATATATAGTTGTATTAATAATCAATAGTTCACAACCTTCTTGTCGTAATTGCTTTTGCTTTATAACAAAAGATCAAGTAATGTTTTGTGTTAGTTGTGATGTTACCTCAGGTTTAGAGATGGTTACACTATTGGTTTGTAGTGTAGAAACTACTTGTAAGCGTCTATTAGAGTGGGAATGTGGATCTCAATAACTTTTAAGGGCAATAACTATTGATGATCTCAAGATGAATGAATTTGATAGGGAGACGCAATTGCGTACGTTTGACCAATTAACATCCAAAGTCGCCACAGTTGTGCCCTACGAAACCAACTCACATGAATTTAATGGGGAGTTGTGGCTCAACTCTAATGTAATAATAGTAATTAATTATTGCTCAGTTTAAAATGGGCCACTTGATTAATACTATTTTGAGACAAGCTTCATTTGTAACTAATAAAAAAAGGGTCTTGCTACTTGTACATTTATGGCATCCATAATGCACAAGGGGCTAAATCCATAAAAAAATGAAGCTTATAAGATGATGAAGACCTAAAAAATATAAATTTGATGTTGAACAGCATGTTCATGGTCTAAGAAGAAATGTCGATTTTAAAATTTCTTCCCACGGGAAGATAAAAAGTTGATATCATTTCTGGACAACCTTATTGACATTAAATTTTAGAGTTCACAAAAGGAAACTGTGGCAATGGCTAGAATAGGAGAAGAAAACCTTGAAACTCATTCGAGTACATAGTGGAAGAAATATGATACCAGTTCATCATATCTTGCACCTAAGATTATAGTTGAAAGAGAAATAAAACCCAACAAAATCAACTACTTTTTTATTAATTTAAAGTAAATCCACTTCTAATAATACAAATAAACTTGTGACCACTTGAATAAATTTTAGTTTGTTTCATCAAAATTACATTATTATTTAACTACATATGCGCTTAAATAAGGCTGGTTTGCTGTAGCATGCCAAGGGCAGCCATATGTTGTATGACATAGTCAAATCTTTTGATGACCAAAACAAGAATAAGCCCCTGTTTGGCCCCCATTTTAGAGTGATGAAAATTTTTGGAATATTGATTGATGGGAGAATGTGGTCGAAAAGTAATAAAAAGTTTTAGATTTGGGTGTAATATTATTTTATTTGATGAATGTCTGGTTGAAATGGAGAGAAAAAATTAATGTAATGTAATGAAAAAAATGAGGGCCAAACGAGGAATAAGAATAAAAACAAAGATGATATATTTACAACCCTGCATGTGATTTGTTTAATCATACATAGTGGTAGGTGGACCTCTTCCTGGTGGAAGTTCGAAGGCTCCAGGTGAATTTATTTGTTTTTTTAGTGCTTACCACCTTTTCCAACGACCCACCTCATGATCACGTAAAGATTTTGAGACTTGACTTCTAAATTTTGTGTAGGATCATAGATCTATTGTCAGGTTTATAGGCTATGCATTATGTGCTGCTGACAAAGCTCTTAGAGATGCAAATTGGATGCCCACCAATCAGGATGAGAAGGAACAAACGGTATTTGTTCATTTTATGCTGATGACAAAGGGGTGATTTCATTTTGGGTGTTGTTAGTGACTTCATTTCTAACTTCAAGATCACCAAGGAGTTTCCAAAGGCGCAGGGACTATTAAAAAAAAACTATTATAATCAACTCTGACTAGTAGTAGAGTCACTACAGTGTGACAACACCTCATTACCTTCAACTTGGGTTCATAATACTTGCATCTTAATTGGTTTGTACTTCACACCCAACAATTTCTTTATCTTCACCATAGGTTTTACACACATTAAATGCCTCTTTTATTTCCTAGACTAGACTTAGGGATGGCAACGGTTCGGTTCGGGGTCGGTTCGGCCAAAACCATAACCGCACCACCAAATTTTTGGTCATACTATAACCGCACCATAACCACGAAAGT